CATTTAGCTGCTGCTGCTGCTGCTGTTTGAGTTTCCTCTCTACCCTTCAACTGCTGCAGCACCTGTTGCTGCTCCTGCTGCTACCGCTCCTCTGTTCGTGCTGCTGCTTCCAGCTGCCTCTGTTGCTGTTGCTGCTCAATCCCTCGTTGCTGCTGCTGCAACTCTTGCTGCTGCTGCTGTATCCCTTGGTGCTGCTGCAGCACGCTTCTCTTGCTGCTGCTGCTGCATCCCTTGCTTCTCCTGCTGCTGCTGCTGCTGCTAGCGCAGCGACTGACGCGACAGGCGGTATTGTGCTCGTAGCTTTCCTAGAGTTAAGTAATAATGTCTCTCAGCTGCAGCTAGAGGAGCAGCAGCAGCAGCAGCAGCAGCATCATCATCCTCAGCAGCAGCAGCAGATGCCTCACTGCTGCTGTACTCTCCCCGCGAAACAACAGAAAAACGCCGCCTTAGCCCTTTGCTTGATTTTCCTATTTGCTGCTGTCGCTGCTGCTGCTGCCGCTGCTGCTGCTGCCGCTGCTGCTGCTGCTGCTGCTGCTGCTGCTTTGGCAACACCGAAGCAGCTGTCGTCGCTTCTTCCTCTTCGTCAGAAGACAGCAGCAAACAACGAGGTCTCTCTTGCAGCGACTTCGCTGCTGAGACTGCAGCAGCAGCAGCAGCAGCAGCAGCAGCAGCAGCAGCACTTTCCCCTCCAGCGCGACGTGCTGTCGGCGGTGATGACGGATGCTGCGCATGCTGTGGTCGCTGCTGCTGCAGCAGCAGCTGCTGCTGCTGCTGCTCGTCTTCGCTGCTGTCTGAAGCAACGAAAAAAGAGAAGCGGCTCTCAGCAGCACCAGTTGCTGCTGCTGCTGCTGCTGCTGCTGCTGTGGTGCCCAGGAGCGTCCGCCTGTTGGTTCCAGTTTCTAAGTGTTGCGTCTCGAGCTGCTGCTGCTGCAGCAGCAGCTGCTGGTGTTGCTGCTGCTTTTGATGGCTGCGAGGTGATTGCTGCAGCTCAGGAGAGTCAGAGGCAGCTGCCGGAGTTGCTGCTGCTTCTGCTGCTGCTGCTCCTTCTCTTGCTGGTGCAGCAGAGGCGGCAGCAGCAGGTTTTGCTGGGCCTGATGCTGCTGCCTCTGCTGCTGCTGCTGCAGTCCTAAAGAACCCTGAAGCAACAGAAGCAGTAGGCAGCCGACGACACCCGCGCTGCTGCTGCTGCTGCTGCTGCTGCTGCCGGTACTCCTGCAGCCTGCGGCAGATCCCTTCAAGCCCCATCTCCTTCGGCTCCCTGTGCTGCTGCTGCTGCTGCTGTTGCTGCTGCTGCTCTTGCTGCAGCGAGCTTCTTGTTGTGGGGCTAGACCCTTGCAGCAGCTGCTGCCGTGTTTGTTCCAGCAGCAGCTGAGCATCCTGGAAAGCAGCAACATGCTGCTGCCGCTCGTGCTGCTGCTGCTGCTGCTGCTGCTGCTGCTGTTTCTGGTGGTGTCGCGCAGCAGGGCTGGCGAGTAAGCAGCAGGTGCTGCTGCTGCTGCTGCTGTTGTTGCTGCTTGCTGCTTCCTCCGACAGGCACAGAGGGAGCGGGTCCCCTGCTTCGGAGGCAGCAGCAGCAGCTGCTGCTGCTGCTTCAGCAGCAGCTGCATGCGTCTGCAGCATGTATGTGCACCTGTCGCAGCCGCAGCGGGAAGCCCAGAGGCCCTGAGAATCGCGTATACAAATGCGTCTAGCAGCAGAAGCAGCAGCAGCAGTTTGTTCTAGGAGGTAGGCATCAAACATATCTTGCTGCTGTTGCAGCTCCTGCTGCTGCTGCTGCATCTGCTGCTGCTGCTGCTGCAGCCGACGCTCCTTCTCCTTCAATTGGCTTTCCAGGCCTTCTATGCGCCGCTGCTCCAGCAACAGCAGCTGCTGCTGCTGCTGCTGCCCCTCCTGCAGCAGCTGCCGCTCTCGCCGCAGCTGCAGCGCCTCAACGCGTATATCTGCTTGCTGCTGCTGCGCAGCAATCAGCTGCTGCTGCAAAGCCTGCATTTCAGCAGCACTCGCCTGCAGCAGCAGCAACAGCAGCAACAGCAGAAGTAACAGCACAGAAAGGCTGCAGCAAAACCGACGTGCAGCAGAACGAGCAGCAGAAACAGCAGCAACAGCAGCAGCAGTAGATGCAGCAGCAAAAGCAGTAGCAATAGCAGCAGTGGATGCAGCAGCAAAGGCAGGCAGCGGCAGCAGCAGCATGGGTGCTTACGGCAAGGGCTTCTTCATGTCGACGCTGCTCCTGCTGCAGCAGCAACTCCTGCTGCTGCAGCAAGACCTTGTGCTGCCTCAGTTCCTCTTGAAGGCCCTGCAGATCCATCTGCTGCTGTTGGATTTGCTGTAGCTCATGTTGCTGCTGCTCCAGTTGCTGCTGCTGCTGCTGTATTCGCTGCTGCTGCTGCTGCAGTTGCTCTTGCTGCTGCAGCAGTCGCTGCTGCAGCTGCTGCACCAGCTGCTGCTGCTCCACCAACTGCTGCTGTTCGGAGCGGCTCTCCCCTATAAACTCCTCCCTCCTCAGCTGATCCTTTGGCTGCTGCTGCATCCCAGGTGCTGCCGATGCAGCAGCAGCAGCAGCAGCAGCAGCTGCTGCTGCTGCTGCTGCTGCTGGTACTGCTGCTCCTGCTGCTGTTGCTGCTGCTGGTTCATGCTGCTGCCCCAGCCGACGCAAAGAGGGTTGAGAAGAAGTGCGAATGAAGCTTCCGGACGGCGAGACAGAAAGCGCAGAAAGCGTGGGAGTAAACCCTCTGCTGCTGCAGCTGCTGCTGCTGCTGCAGCAAGTGTTGCCGACCCTGCACCAGTGCCCTGGGTAGAGAGACTCCTGCTGCTGCTCCAGCCGCAAGCCGTTGAAGCAACAGAGTCTGTTTGAGGCTTCGTTGGCTGCTTTCTGCTGCTGCTGCTGCTGCTGCTGCTTCCAGGTGTTGTTTCTGCTGCTGTTGCTGGGGCTGCTAGTGTTGCAGCAGCAGCTGCTGCTGCTGTGGGTAGCACTGTGAAGCTGTCACGAATATTGCGGATGCTGCTGCGGAGGGCACTGTAATCGAAGACCTTGCTGCTGCTGCTGCTGCTGCTGCTGTTGCTGCTGCTGTTGCTGCTGTGTATACCCCACAACGCAGCAGCAGTCCTGCTGCTGCTGCAGGCAGAAGAACCCAAGCCTGTGTCTCCTGCAGCAGAAATGAATGAAAGATCAGAAGAGATATTTAAATGCGCATGCGACCTGCTGCTGCTGCTGCTGCTGCTGGTGTCTTGCTGCTGCAGTTCACCCTTGTTCGGCTGTGCAACTGCAGCACGCGACGCAGCCACAGCAGCAGCAGCAGCAGCAGCAGCAGCAGAGGCAGCAACACTGGCTTGATGGCCTGGGTCGGAAGAGCTGCCGAAGCAGCAGCTGCTGTATTCGCTCTTGCTGCTGCTCGCGGCTGGTGCTGGTGCTGGTGCTGCTGCTGCTGTTGCTGTTGCTGCTGCTGCTGCTGCTGCTGCTGGTGCATCGCGTTGGAGCATATGTTGCTCCTGCTGCTGCTGCTGCAGCAGATCAAGAGCTGCACGGCGTCCTTCTATATGCTGCAGCATCTGCTGCTGCTTCCGTTGCTGTTGCTGCTGCTGCTGCTGCTGCTCACGCACAGCAGCAGTAGCAGCCTCTGCAGCATCAGAGGCAGTACGTGCAGCAGCCTCAGCTGCCGCGACGTATGCATCTGCTGCAGCATCTGCTGCTGTTGCTGCTGTTGCTGCTGCTGTTGCTGCTGCTACGTGTCTGGATGAGACGGGAGTTGCTGCTGAGGACGGAACAGCAGAAGAATCGCTCGCCATACAAAAAGCTGCATCTGCTGCTGCTCCTGCTGCTGCTGCTGCTGCTGCTGCTTCCAGGCTGGGTGCTGCTGAGGCGTGCTGCAGCTCGCGCGAAAGAGGTGGTAGCCTAAACTGCAGCTTCAAGGCATCACTGGTTGCTGCTGCTGCTGCTGCTGCTGTGTTGCGTCGTGAATCGTCCCCTGCTGCTGCTGCTTCAGCAGCAGCAGCAGCAGCAGCAGCAGCAAAGCTAGGCTGAGAGGAGAAAGTGGTCTTCGGTTGCGGCTCAAAAGGAATGTCTCGCCAGTTGCATGAAATCAGCTGACGCTGCTGCTGCTGCTGTTGTTGCTGCTGCTGCTGCTCTTGCTGCTGCTGCTCTTGCTGCGGAGTAAGGTGCCGCCAAGGTCCTGTGCTGCTGCTGCTGCTGCTGCTGCGCTGAACCCGCCGCGGCGCTTCTACTGCCTGTACAGCAGCGGCGGCAGCAGCAGCAGCAGCTGCTGCTGCAGCTGCTGCAACCGGTGAATTGCTGCTCGAACTGGGCTGCCGGTAGCTGCCGCTACTGCTGCTGCTGCTGCTGCTGTTGCTGCGGCAGCAGATCCTCTCTGTGTGAGAGAAGCGCGCTGCAACAGCAGCTGCAGCATGTGCTGCAGCTGCTGCTGCTGCTGATATATTTGCATCGCCGTCGCTACAGCTGGATCGCAGCAACTTGTCATTTCGCTGCTGCTGCTGCTGCTGGAACGTGTGATGCTGCTGCTGTTGCTGCAGCTGCAGCTGCTGCAGCAGAAGCTGCTGATGCTCCTCCAGCGTACCAGCAGCAAACAGAGGGGCATCTCGCGGGCTGCTTCGGACGAGATCTGCTTCTTCAATAAGAAGCTGCTGCTGCTGCTGCTGCAGGTGTTGCTGTTGCTGCTGCAGTTGCTGCTGCTGCTGCTGCAGAAGCTGCTGCTGTTGCTGCAGCCGGCCTTGTTCCAGACGCCGCTGCTGCATGCGCTGCTGCCGCAGCTGCAGCTCTCTCTCTAAGTCCACTTCAGACATTGCAGTGGGGGGGAAATGCTGTTGCTGCTGTTGCTGCTGCTGCTGCTGCTGCTGCTGCTGCTGCTGAGCCCAGGCCCGGAAAACTATTAGCAGAAGTGGTGGCAGCAGCAGCGCTGCCTAGTTGGCGGTTGAGGAGACAAGGATCACAGGTTCAGGGTGTGTGCAGCAGCAGAAGCTCTTGCTGCTGCAGCTGCTGTTGCTGTTGCTGCTGCTCCAGCACCGCGTGTGTGGCAAGCAGCAGCAGAAATTGCAGGCCTCCTTTCATCTGGAGGTGAGCAGACAGCAGCAATTGCCTTAGACGGTTGAATTCTGCTGCTAAAACAATTGCGGTTGCTGCTGTCGCTGCTGCTGCTGCTGCTGTTGTCGCTGCTGCTGGTGCTGCAGCTGCCGCACCACCAGTGCTCCTCTCATACACCCAATTAGAACAGTGCGTGTTGCTGCTGCTGCTGCTGCTGCTGCTGCTGGGGGGTGCAGCAAGCAAGACACTAGCACAACCTAGGGGGTCCGCTGAAAAAGGGTTGCTGCAGCTGCTGCTGCAGCTGCTGCTGCAGCTGCTGCTGCTGCGATTTCTCAATGTAAAATCAATGGACTAAGTAAATTTTTTAAAATAAATAAAGTTGTTGCAGCAGCAGACATTGGGTGCTGCTGCTGCTGCTCATGGGGGCTGCATGCTGGAGCCTCTCAAAAGGCTGCTGCTGCTGCTGCTGCTGCTGCTGCTGCAGTAAGAGGGTGATGCAGCAGAAGCACGGGAAATGTTCTATATACCGCCTCCCTTGAATATTTAAACATATTAGAAAATAACAATAGAGAATTGCTTGCTGCTGCTGCTGCATATTGTGGGTCTCCTCATCAAGGTTGTTATACTATTGCTGCTGCAGCAGCAGCAGCAGCAACGGCAGCAGCAAGAGCAGCAGCAACAGCAGCAGTGGCCTGTATCAGCAGCAGCAACAACAACAGCAGCAGCAGCAGAA